TCCCATAGGCATCTCTTGGTCGAATCCGAGCCGATCATTACTGCCCGGGCTGTTGATACGTGGTTTGCCTCTGCTAGGGTCACAGACGAATTTACGGACATAATCCTGAACTTCTGGGTTGAGGAAATTGCCCTGGATCGTAGAAACCCCTTTGGGTGGCTGAGCTGGAATGATATCAACACCTAAAACCCTGCCATCGGGTTCAGTTCGAGCCACTGCTACCTGGCATGCAAGTGAGCTGCCGTCCTGAAGGGGGGGGGGGGTCTCAGAATTACCTGGGACCACGAGCCAGGAGCATATCCCTACACAGTTGAGATATGTAAGTCAACTGACTTGAGAATCTTTGCAGCTTGGACTCTTGGCTACCATACTAGGTCAACAACAGTTTGCCCGCTTTGGAACACGCGGTATTTATCATCAATCTGGGTATCATCAGAGAACGTAACACCATGTATATGGACCAGTTGGGCATACTTGGAGAAGCTTGAATGCTGCGCGACTTTTCAAGCCTTGGACTACAGCTTCTTTTGTGAAGTGATCCTTGAGCTGGCGGGCCTGCCATCTCTTCGAGGACGAGTGTCTTTTTAAAGTGAGGTGGCAAACCAAACGACAGCTTCGTGAAATACGTGAGATGGAAGGAATATACATAATGGAAGTCCTCTCTCTTTTCTTGGGGTACAGCCAGATTATTGTGAGCCGTATGCACGGGGCATGTTGTGATACACGACTAGGACTTATTTGAAAAGTACGGAGTAGTTGTTGGATTCGAGGTTAGGTTTTACCTCTCCGTCAATTCAAGCATTGCCGGAGCGGGCGGGCTCCGGGCAATGATTTAGAATCACCCAAATCACTGTCTTCGATTTCAAGATACTGGAGCACCCGATTTGTTTTCTCTGCCCTCCATTCCCTGTCTCTTACTTAGACTCGGCTCTACAGTATCTTTATCTGATGCCCTTCGATATACAAAACTTGCTCTCGGCGACCGTTCAAGCTTGTTGTTGATACGTGTGAGATATCGTACCTAGCACACAGCTGACTTAGATAATAATAGTCAGGACAGTCAAGTACCCTAATGTTACCTACCTTTATCTAATATTTACTTTGATAGTCCGTAGATGAGAGTTCATTATTCTCTTCTAGGGTATTTACACTTTCCGACAATACTTACGTGGTGGTAATGTTCAAAACTGTATCATACCCGTGATAATTACTCGTCAGTAACTATCGGACGGTAATCTGTGGGTAAGTATATATGACCACGCCAGAGTACCTGGAGTAAGTAGTAACTTACAGTACATACTCAAGTAGTAGTGGACACCTATCAAATATGCCGCTGTGGTGCCCCCTGCACCTAAATTGACTACTAAGGCCATAGCTTAGGTTGACTAACTACCCAGTCCACAACCACCTACCTAAGTGATCACTTACACCTGTTCTAAACGATACCCTATTCCAATGGCTGTTGCGAGTCGCTAAACTACTTCTCTTTGCCCAACATTTCCACCAAGCACCCAATTGGCATGCAAACATGAAGCTTTTGAACTTTCTGGTCCCGTTCCTCGCCATACTTCCCCATGGCCTCTGTGCCAATTCTGATACAGACAAGTACGAGAAATATCGCTCACTCGCGAGATCTGCGCCTATTGATCTTGATGACTCTTCCTACGAAGATTTAACATCGAAACCTCGTAATTATCATGTTGCCGTGTTGTTGACTGCCACTGAAGCTCGTTTCGGATGCATTCTATGTCGTGAGTTCCAACCCGAATGGGACCTCATCGCGCGCAGTTGGAACAAAGGTCCTACACTCAATGACTTGAAAGTGCTTTATGCTACCCTTGAATTCACCAATGGCAAAGAAACATTCCAGAAAGTAAGATGAATACTACCGTCCTTGCGAGAACATGACCTCGAGGCTAATATGTAGAAGCTCATGCTTCAAACCGCACCGGTTCTGCTTGTGTTTCCTCCGACGGTCGGCCCTTTCTCCAAGGTCGACGATGCGCCCTTACGTTTTGACTTCAGCGGGTGAGGCACGGTTTCTGTGGGATTATGGGTAACCTTCGCTAACATGATGTGCTCTGCAGTCCTATCTCGGCTGATCAGCTTTATACATGGATCTCCCGTCATCTTCCCAATGGTCCAAAACCTCCTCTTGTTCGCCCGATCAATTATATGCGCATAATCTCGGGCGTGACTATCTTGATGGGTGTAGTGACTCTTTTCACCGTGCTTTCACCCTACGTGTATCCTGTGGTGCAGAATCGAAACCTCTGGGCCGCCATGAGCCTTATCGCGATTCTCTTATTTATAAGTGGCCACATGTTTAACCATATTCGCAAAGTACCATATGTCGCCGGGGATGGAAGGGGTGGAATCAGCTACTTTGCTGGAGGGTTCTCAAATCAATTCGGCATGGAAACACAAATTATAGCTGCTATTTGTAGGTTTCTGGTTTGACTAAACATGTGATTGTGCTAATCATTCTATTTTACAGACGCCATCCTCTCCTTTGCAACAATTGCTCTGGCAATGAAAGTTCCCCGTATCGCCGATAACAAAACACAGCAGGTGGCAGTGATCATCTGGGGTTCTGTTCTGCTTGGCATGTACAGCTTTCTTCTCAGTGTTTTCAAGGTGAAAAATGGCGGTTACCCTTTCTTCCTCCCGCCTTTCTAGATGAGCACCGTGTCATGAGATGGGTGTGTAAGTGCATATCTGGGGTGAAGGCAGGGGATTGGCAAGAGGCCAGATGAGGGGATTCCGCGGAAGGTAGTTTGTGCATACCATATCCGTGGTGTACCTGGTCAGTCTATTTATCATGACACGTGTATTGGCGAGTGTGCATTGGCATAAATTCGAGTCAGAGTTCTGCAGCTGGCATTAAAGTAATGCATTTCATGTGTGCGTTTCCGCTATGGAATCGATATCTGAGACTAACTCAGGCGGCTACGAGTACATACTCTCTTTTTCTTTGTTCAACTCCGCGCGATTATCAGGACTCCGAGAGAAAGGAGGGGGGCGGGGGTGGGACTCTCCACAAAACTGCACTTTTACATATTAGTCTTGTTCAAGCGGGGACTCGCGGGTTGCTACACAGTATGTTCAGTAGTATGTCCTACAAACAGTACACACTGCATACAGACCCGTGACTATGTATCTATGATATACCTTCGAGGTTGAAGTAGTGTAAATGGCTGACCAATAAGGGGCGGTGGGAGAAAGACCGGCGGACTAGCGCAAGTGGAGTGGATTACCTCGGTGTTTATCTAGGTAGTAGATTATGAACCCGTGGTCTTCTTCTTCTGTGAACTTAACCTCACCCACAATCCAGCCTATCAGTCGTCATTTTTTTCATATCAGCATGCCATCGCCGGATGATGAAGCTAGCTCTTTGCTTTGGTCACCAGCTTCTGGTACAACGCTTCTGGTCCTCGTTCAATTGACCTCAAAGATATTCACTTTTACGGCAAATCAGTTGATCTTGAGAGATCTACCACCAGCTTTTCTAGGAGTTGCAGCCCAGCTGGACCTATACTCCATTACACTGCTGTTTTTTTCTCGGGAAAGTATCAGACTGGCGATTCAAAGGCAACCGCTTGTTACCTCTGTTTCCTCGGATTCAAGTAGTCATGGTAAAGCCGCAATTGACAACAAATTCAGCGCAACTAAACAACCAAGAACCCAAGAAGTGGAATCACAGTCCGTGGTCAATATGTCCTACTTGAGTCTGGGAATGGGACTTCTCTTTGCCATGATACTCGGTACCTCTTACATTCGTCTCGCCTCGGATGAAGTTTCTCAAACACCGTCTTATCACCAAAGTGTGAAAATTATTACCATCGCATCCCTAATAGAACTTGCAAGCGAGCCATGTTTTAACGTGATGCAGAGGTATATGCTGTACAGGCAACGTGCACTTGTTGAGATGAGTGCTGCATTCATGAAAAGCTTGGTAACTTGTTTTGTTTTCCTGTGGGCTGCCTACTATAATATCACCGTTGGTGTTCTGCCATTTGCACTCGGACACTTGAGCTATGCATGTGCACTTCTTTGTGGTTATTTTATAGCTATCAGAAAGATGGCAAGGCATCCAGACTTCTCTTTGCTGCTCACAAGATTGCAGTCGCGGTAAGTGTGCCTGCCTGGATTTGTGTATTAGGACACCACCTGATAGGACCCCTAGTGATCGCCACATCTATGTGGCTAACAAATTCCCATGGCCAATGATCTCATTGGCTGCAAGTGTGTTTCTTCAGTCCATCGTCAAACATCTACTCACGCAAGGGGATTCAATGATCCTAGCGACAATGACAAGCCTAGAAGATCAGGGCATTTATGCCCTCGCCTCAAACTATGGTGGTCTCGTGGCCCGCATACTTTTTCAACCCATTGAAGAAAGTAGTCGGGCCATCTTCTCATCACTGCTTCATAGCAACTACCTTGAAAAGCGACGCACGGGGAATGTCAGTCGCGCCAAAACACATCTAGCCGACATCCTGCGCGCCTACAGTCTGGTAGCTGCAGTGGCTTTTCCCCTCGGTCCAGCTTTGGTACCTCTAGTGCTCGATTTCCTGGGTGGGCGCAGCTGGGCTTCGCCTACGGTGAGTAGCTTACTATCTCTTTACTGCCTTTATATACCATTCTTGGCTTTCAATGGTATAAGTGAGGCATTCGTTTCTTCGGCTGCTAGTCCTTCAGAAGTTCGCAAACAGGCACTATGGATGGGAGTGTTCTCAACTTGTTATGTTTCAGCAGCGTACGTATTCTTAGTTGTCGGTGATTTGGGTGCTCAAGGGATGGTCTATGCCAACATCGTCAATATGGCGGTTCGTACTATCTGGAGCTTTTTATTCATTCGGTCATTCCTACAACGTTGCACCTTGGCATTAAGGCCATCCGAGTTCCTTCCCCGGCCCCAGACTTTTCTGGCTGGCATCATGATATCGACAGCTTTTATGAGAAATGGATCCTACAAGGTCAACTCTAGAGATTTTTCAGGTACCTTGATTTATAGCGCTATATACATTATATTTGTGTAAGTCTCTATGCAACTTCGAACTTTTGTGAACCCGACCACTAATTATCATGCACACGGCCAGGTTGTATACTGAGAGAAAATACTTGCTAGCACAATGCACCAAAGTCAAAGAGATCTTGAGATCTGGATGCAAATACAAACGAGGTTGAAAGTCTCATTGTCAATCATCAAAGACAATCTTGGTTGCTGCTTTGCTCGAGTCAACGTCTTTGAAAAATGCACCATAGGCATCATGTTGCTTCTTCTTGACCGTCGAGCCGAACTTGAGAAGGGATTCTGGTACATCCTGCTTGGCTGCTTTGAGCACGTTGATCAACCTGCAACCCATTAGCCCCGCAAAAAGAATTATGACATAGGAAAATATCTCCGAATTCGCATGCACTGGAAGACTACTCACCCTCCAGATTGAGCCTTATCCAATTCAGTGAACAGAGTAATTGCATGGCCCTCAGCCCCCGCACGACCGGTTCTTCCGGAAATGTTAGCTAAGTTTCCGACAGCCGTCTTTACCAGGGGCAAGATCACTCACCGTCCGATTCGATGTACATAGTCTTCGACCGTAAGCGGGAATGTGACATTGATAACAAGTTTGACAGCAGGGATATCAAGTCCACGAGCTGCCACATCAGTGGCGACAAGGACGGTAGCAGTGCCACTCTTAAAAGCCTCTAGGCTTTTGAAGCGCTCTTGCTGGCTGAGGTCGCCATGTATTCCTGCAACCTTAAAACCCTTATTCCGTAGAACTCTCTCCACACGAACAGCTTCCTTCTTATACAGACAAAAGACCAGGACTTTCGGGGGTTTGGGAGCCCTTTGACTTTGATTGAGTAGCTGTACAAGCCTTGGCTCTTTCTCATGTGGCTGTATGACCTCAACCTCCTGTTTGATTCTCGTATTCGCGCGAGGATCGGCAGATGGATCTCCGCCGATGGTAACAGTGACAGGCGTCTTCATGAATGTGGTAGCAAGATTTCTGACAACTGGAGGCCATGTTGCTGTGAACATCACAGTTTGTCGTTTTGACTTTGACATGGGATGGATGATGTCCTTGATATCTTGTTCAAACCCCTTGTCCAACATACGATCGGCTTCATCCAAAACAAGGTACTTGACCTTTGAGAGATCGACCGAGCCGTCATTTTGAAGATCCTTCAGTCTACCCGGGGTTGCGACAACAATGGGTGCAGTCTTCAGAGCTTCGCGCTGTTCATCCTTTGGGACTCCACCAAAGATGCAAGTTACTTCCACACCCAGTGGTTTCGCGAACTTCACAAGCTGGTCATGAATTTGTTTAGCCAACTCCCTAGTTGGTGAAATCATGACCGCCATGGGCTGACAAGGCTTTTTATTGCATTTCCTCTTCGAATCTTGTAACTTCTTGAGGCATGGCAATCCGAAAGCGAGGGTCTTACCACTACCAGTCTCAGCAATACCAATCACATCGCGACCAGCGAATAGCAAGGGCCAAGTTGTTGATTGAATGGCAGTCGGAGAGGTGAAAGAACCAAGGGGATCGTAGAGTTTGCCGTCGCAGGGAGGAAGATGTGAGAAAGACATGATAGGCCGAAGATTTGCAGCATCTTTCGAGGAGTCGGTCACTTTGATTGTGTTCTCTGTAAGAAAGTGCTCTATGTCTGATTCTGGCAAATCGCTCAATGCGCGCGACTGGACGTATTTCGGTTCGTGCCCTGCGATATCCTCGGATTTTTCCGTAGCCTTCGAAGCATTCTTTTCTTTTCTCGACTTTTTCTTCAGTCTGTACTCCGGTCGCTCCTCTTCATACTCGCGTTTAGCCATGATTCAGGGTTTCACACAGATGATATCTGAGAAACGAGAAGTCGCATGCACTCAGAAACCTAATATGGTTTATCTTGCCTTTGGCCCAGGAATTTTTTTTTCCTCTTTTTTGCCGGGGCAGTCAATCAGATTGCCGGCTGATTCGTCGGAGAAACGTGCCCCATGAAGCAAAGTGGATACTGAGGTAACTATCGGCTTTTCACTGATTGGTCTGATCCCTTAATAATATCGCCTTATCTGAAAATCTTCAAGGTCCCACGTTGGCGCGGACCATCTACATTCTACACCGTGGACTACTGAGGTACTGTAGACTCCTAGAGGCTACATTATTGTCTAAGTTAAAGTTCGGTACTACAGTACATGAGCAGGTAGACCTCGGACTCTCCGAGAGACATTCACTCGTACACTTGTCGCGGCTTAGCTCAAACATTCTGTAGTTAGTTAGCTTAGCTAGCTGTACATGCCAGCTGGTACAGTAGCGCCTGCTTCTGATTCTGTGGCAGGCCAAGCCACAAATCATGAATATGACTAGTTCAAGGTGCAGATGATCTTCCCTTTCGTCTGGTTGCTCTCAAGTAGCCTGTGAGCATCTGCAATATCCTCAAATGAAAAAACCTTCTCCACATAAACTTTGAAAGTTCCGTCCTTGAATCTTGGTAATGCCTGATTAACCAAGAGATCACGCAATTTCTTTTGGTATTGTTCGTCTCTGCTCCGTAGCGTGCTGCCCTCGAACCTTATCCGCTTCATTAAAAAGCCACTAATGTCAACATTACCAGGGAGTATTGAGCCACTCATTTGTCCCAGCTGAACAATGTGAGCGTCTTTTGCCGCCACATTCAGATTGCCCTGGAAGTGTGTCGCACCGACAAAATCGATTATAACATCGACACCACGGCCCTTTGTCGCGTTCAAGATCTCCGAATCCCAATTCTGATCCCTGTAATTATAACCAGCAGTAGCACCCAATTGACCGACGCAAAAGTCGAGCTTCTCCTTAGAACCAGCAGTTACATAAATCTCCGATGCACCACTGTTTCGAGAAAGCTGAATTCCGGCTATCGACACTGATGATGCTCCAGCATGCCAGAGAACGGATTTGCCTGGCGTGTGACCACCGATCAAATAAAGAGCTTGACATGCCGTGATCCATGTCTGTAGGTATGTTCATGTTAGACGAAGGGTGATTATCCGGGGAGACACTTCAATCTACCTCGGGTATTCCTGCTGCTTCTATCCAAGTCATATCGAGAGGTTTATATATCAACATATTCGTCGATACAGCGATGTACTCAGCATATGCACCTGCAAGACACTGATTAATCATGTCAAAAATCATTTTCAAGTCTCACTTACCCCCATACGCCAAGCCGAAAACCTCATCGCCTATCCGAAAGCCATTGCAATCGGCTGCTCCGAGTTCCTCGATTACACCAGAGAATTCTACCCCCATGGTGCTTGGAGCCTGCGGCGGAACAGGGTATTTGCCCTCGCGCTGCAATAGATCCATTCGGTTCAAACCGAAGGCCCTGATTCTGATCAAGGCATCGCCACCTTTCAGCTTCGGAGTGGGGATCTCTTCGATGAAAAGGGCATCAACATTGCCTTTCCCGCCGCGAACGCCTATTTATGATCGTTCAGACTCAATCGGGATCAAAATATGAATTCTCAGTGGTCCTTACTGATCGCTCGCATAGTGGTACTGATATGCAGTCAAGTACTTGATAGCAAATAAATTCGATTGAATTCCCCAGAAGGAGATTCGACTGGATAATTATTCGACCTGGTTAGTAACTGCTCAGTCAGGTGTAAGTTATCGACACCGTCACGTTACGCATTTGTCATCCACATCGGCAGATTAGTCATGACGACGTAGTAGAACTAACTAGAAGTACTCATAGTCACGGTGCAGATGTTACTCTACTGGTGCGCAGGGAATGGGACATATTTTGTAATAGGAATTGATCACATATACACAAGGATGGATGCAGATGCTGGCAATTATCAAGCCCGGCGCGGGCACGTCAGTTATCCTCATGATGAATGAAAGCACAATGGCAAATTCAAGGTGATTAACAGGCTGATTTACTAAAAGCAAATCAGAGTAGTGTATCGGTGTGCATCATGAATGTTTTCAAGACAAATTATACGAGTCAATTTGTTCTGCTAGGCGAGAAGCCTCCTCAGAGTAGTTGATTGCTCTGGCCGATGATACCTGGTATCGAACTCTAGAAACCCGAGGGAGAGATAGAATCAGTCACCGATTGCGCTAAATCAATGAAAGAGTAAAACTTACCGCTGCTGATCGCCGAAGTGATCTATCTTAGCCCTGCATCGGAAATTCCACGTCCGGCAGTTAGCATCTTGAAACAGTTCACCCGCTGCTCTCTCGTCTGCCTGTCGCAGCTCCATCAACTGGTCTGCCGTAGTGCCCATCATCTGTCTTCCCACATCATCAAAGCAGCTCAACCAAAGTTGACCAGTATGGTCGCTAACATTGACAAGCATTATGTAGCGATATTCTGGTCGCGAGTGTGTCTTATCACACCGCTCGCAACGCCATTGACCAGGATCAAGCTCCGTCACTTTTTTATTGCAGCCTTCTGAAAGGCAGGCGGGGTAACATATGTTGTCTTGCTTTATGTAGATGACAGTCGCCTTTAGTGAAAAGTAGACTGCCTCGTCGGACATTCCGAGTTGCTCTTCCCGAACTTGAGCTATGGTCTTGAAGTGATCGGGCCTTGCGGCGGACATCGCTGTACCCGACATTGAGGCATGCGACGTGAAAACACCATCTCTTCCCTGCGCATCATACCAGCCCTTAAGCTTGTGAGCTTCTTCGATATCAGGGTCTACTGTTATTGAACCTGAACTCAGCAGACTCAGACTTCGCCCTCCAAAGTCGGAAACCTTGACACCCTTGAATGCCATCACTGACTCGGGTAAAGTGTTAAAATTCAGTGCCGTATTGCCCCAGACAGTTAAACGAACTGAGTACCCGGTATTGTCAACCAGGGTCAATTCACGCTTGTTATACGGTTTGCTTGTGGTCTTCGAGACGATTTGAGAGACTTCGCCAGCCTCTTTCAGCACGCCGATAACATCAATCGTAGTGTCCTTTTCCACTGACTGAAGATCGCTGATTGTAGTGAAATTGAACCGGACTTGAGGCACATCGCTCTGGTCTTCCGCCTGGGAAAACTATCAGAGGATTATCATCATGGGGATGCGGGGGCTGACGTACCTTTTCAACAATGGTGTCTCTTTCAAAGGTAAGTTCGTAGTCGTTATTCAGGTTTGTGAATTGCTTCTTGGCGATCTGGACACGACAATTCGAAATATAATAGACACTACCCTCCTGGAAGACATCATAAAGCATGTCACACTGATCATTGAACCCTGTTGCGCGAATTTCGCCGCTGTCATCCAACAAGTTCACGCTGAATAATTTACCTTCCGTGTTTCTGTTGTGCCACGTTTTGATGGTCGATTTGCTTGTACAGCGAGCCTTGATCGTCCATTTGTGCGAGTACGGGGAAATGGCTTCAATTGGATAGATAGTAGTGTGAGCTGCTGAAGGAAGACCTGTCCGAGTTGTTTGCGTTCGGTGATGAGACGGCGCTGGTGCAACTTGGGGCTTAGAGCCGTAAAACCCATTACTCGATATGGTTGTTGGTTGGGGCTTATCTTCTTCTTCAACCTTGCTCTCCAATGGTCGGGGTTCTCCGAGTTTCTCGCTTTCACCTAAGTCTTGGAGAACATCCAGTTCAAGGATGATGAGAATCCTGTGGGAAACGTTAGTCCTGGACGCTCAGAAAATGTGATCGTAACAACTTTTTTCCTTTCACGGCATTTGCCTGGAATGACTTCAACTTGACAAAGCATCCTTTGCGAAGCAGGCCACTTGTCACCTTATGATTCAATTCTACATGACACGGCAGTTAGGATTGTTATGTTGGGGAAATGTCTGTCAAAAAACAACAAGGATTCTAACTGACGAGTAGCGAGCATAGTCTGAACATAATTCGAAATATCGCTGAAGACAGCCCTGAAACGTTCTTGGTTGTTCTGCTGTGGCGGCAATGGCTTAATCTGGACACACTGAACAATAGGTTCCTGTATCTGAGGCTTGGTCTCATCAAAAATAGCGCTTTATCATACCAGATCAGTAACTGAAGGTGAGACTTGGACTGACGACCTACCTAAGGGCTCCGATCGAGACCTGCGATGCTGGATCCAAAGCCATGATTATACAGCCTGCTCCAAGTGCCTGGGAACTAGTGTCTAGATGTTTAGGTACGTTGATGGCTTCGATCAAGAGAGTGGGTGGCTTCAAACAAGAGGATATTGAATGACGTCCAAGGTGTCTTATGGTGCAGTTAAATTTTGATGGTCTAGTGATTTGCTCGAGGATAGTAAGTGACAAGGGAAATGGCCATGAAACGGAAGACGCGTGCCGCGTCCATAACGCGCAAAAACGTGTTCAATAATCAAGCCCCACTTACTCACTTAGTGCTTGGAGCCTTTCGAATTAGTCTTGGCTCCTCGGGAAGCTGCTGCCTGTTGCTTTGAGCCAAACAGCAAGCTACTTGTGCGAATTTGCAAAACCCACTTTCTCTACTTAACATAATCGGCAAGCGAGTGAGTGGGCACCTGTGTATCATATATAAAAAAGCTTATTTATGAACTTCTATATCTCAACAACAACTGATATAAATAGCTACATATTACATGTATATACAAATAATATAGTAGTATAAATCTATAATCACAATTTTGATAGATTTAAATAGCTGAAAGCTATTATATACCAGTATTTTTAAAATACATCAGGAATAAAGTATATTTTATATCATCTTTTTAAACAAAGCTTTAATAATACTGAATTTCAGTTGATCTATATAATAGATATAAAACTAATATATCATTTGTATAAAGTTGATATCAAAGTTGGTAAGGTTATAATCTTAAAATATACTCTTTTATATTAATACTCCAGCTCAAATGTCATTCTACTTATTATAATCTAATAGGCTATTTTGCAGGATATCAAGTAACAAAATCATAAAGG